GTCTTGAGCTGCCATTATGTTCTGCTGGGAAACCTAAACACTAGTGCTTTCTCAATTATTTTACATATTTCTGAAATTATTCCATAGTCTTCAATTTGTACTAATAAAATTAATCAGAAGTACTATATTAAAATTATCATTCATTTTTTACATTTATTCAACAGCAGTGAGAAAAGGAGAAATCTTTGTCATTTTGTTTAGCATGTAAATGCACAAAAACCTCAGCTTACCTGAACTTTGCCAAAAAAAAAAAATCAAACCTCTATTAACCACAAGTTTTCTGCATTATTCTTTTCCTAAAGATTTGTGAAGTAAAAGGAGGAAGGTGTTATTATGAATTACTAAAAAATCCATGGTCATGGATACAATTATACAGTCAAATCAATCTCCTACGTTATCTCTTGTGAATTCCCACAATCTCTATTTATGATCAAATGAAAAAAGGTCTTTTTAATGATGATCTCAAGGAAAAGTAAGATTTGAAATTACCTCAAACCTTTCAGTTAGATCCAATATGTGATTTGTGATTAGGCAAATAAAGTGGACTCAAACATTTTGAAATGTTTCAATTAGGATTCTTTTTTTTTTTTTAAATTTTGAAGTTATAACTTTTTTTTTTATTTTACTTTAAGTTCTGGGGTACATATGCAGATCTTGCAGGATTGTTACATAGGTATACACATGCCATGGTGGTTTTTTTAAAGTTTTCTATTTGTGGTTCAGTTAACCAGAAAATTAAATTAACCAGAACTCTGTCATTTCCAGAGAATTTCAGTTAATTGAGATTTAATTGTACTTTTGTTGTTATCTTTGTTCCCACATGGAAATTAATTCCATTTCAGATTTATTTCTTGGAGGGTGTTTAGTATAGTTATCACCTTAAATGAGTAGGATAGGGTGCATAGGGTGGCTTTTCTTTTTGGATTTTAATGGTTACTATGCATATATGTGTGTGTGTGTGTGTGTGTGTGTGTGTGTGTGTGTGTGTGTGTGAGAGAGAGAGAGAGAGAGAGAGAGAGAGAGAGAGAGAGCTTGCCTTGGCAGAAGTGTTTAAAGAAACATGAGTGGTTAATGCCCTCACTGTGATTTGACTTTCATCTTCCTTCTTTTAAGCACATTTTCCCCTTTTTAAACCTGCCATTTTAAACTGAAAAGTATTTTTCAAGAAATGAAGCAATACTTTCTATCCCATTTATTAAAGTAATGCACAGAAGGAAATGCACCATGGTAAAAACAATAATGTTTTGCTAAAGATAACCAGGAAGTGAGGAGGAGAAAAAAAAACCTCAAATAGCAGAGAGAGGCCAGATGGTCTTTTTTTTTTTAATGCAGTCACTAAGCAGGAAATTTTGTTTGATTAAGAAGACACTGGTCTTGATTTACATTCAGCAGTTTTGAGGAACTTTTTTAAAATTGGACACACACACACACACACACGTACAACACACAAGCGATTTTCATTCAGCCAAATGATCATTTGTGCTATTGTAAGCAAGATTCTGCTGATGAAAATGTGAAGTCTTAATGATAAAGAAGAAAACGGGTTCCCAAGTCTCGGTTATGAAAGAACTTGGAATTTGCCCACTACCCTAAAGACCCTCGATCATTACCATATCCATCATATTGTTGTAAGGTCTGGTGTTTTGTTTTGTTTTCTTTTGATAGCCCGGAATGGAAGAAAGGCTGTGTACCACAGTGGCTAACTAGGGTTTTGTGAGATACAGGGTAGACCCGGGGGAAAAAATAGAGGTTTTGGAGTTCAACACCCCAGGGGGCTAATGTGCATAAAGCGACTGCTCCAAAGGACCTGAGTTTAATCCTTGGAGCTGCCAGTCAGGATCAGGATGAAGAAGCACCCATGCAAAGAATTGCTTCTGGATGCTGATAGGCAGGGAAGTGGAGGAGGGGAGGTGGGAAAGGGGATCGGCGCGCCCCTCTTTGGACTGTGATGTTTTGGGAGTCGGTGCTGGGGGAGGGTAGCTGGCAGTGGCTCCTGCACAACAAAGCTCCCTTCGGTGAAGTCACCGACATCTTTGCTATCGTCTGGCACCCTTTGCCCAGCACCACAGGAGTGAGCTATTTCCCAGTCTGTATTCTAAGGATGAAAATGACTAAAGTTGTGAAACTAAGTATTTGCATCCGTTTAAAAGAGAGAGAGTCACTTGGAATTTGGAATGGAAAGAACAGATTTAGAAAACTGGCAGAATTTTTTGGAACTTCGCCCTGAATCGAGAGACCCTGTTGACTTAAATAAGGACAAGCTAAAGGAGCTACGTAAAAGAGACAACCGAAATATCTTTACCATACAGATGACAAATGAGGCACTCAAATTTGGTTTTTCAAAAATGCAGTATTTTCTCATAAGTTATATGATACTTTCTCCAATTAGCATTCATATTTATAGTCAAAATAAGTATAACTTCACCTTAATATAGCTTAGCCACCTTGAAAGCTCACTGTTCTTAAAGGCAGATTTTTTTTTTTTTTGTAAATGAATTTTTAAGCCCTAGACTGCATCTTAAGTAGTGAGTTCTTTCAATTTTGCTGTTTTTAATGTTTAAAAGCCAGCTTCTTATCTAATTTGATTCAATGGATAAAATGTAAGGGATGAAACTCACACTTAAAATGCATTTCAGTGAGAATGGTTTAAAATGAATTTTTTCCTTTAAACTTTAAACAAGCAAACAAATAAGATGCAAAGCAAAACAACATCAAAAAACTCTTAAGCCAACTCCCTAAGATCATACCTTTTGATATTAACTTCAAATTCATGCCTTGTATTCATGTTTTACAAATTACATTTATAATTTATCTCTAAGATAACAATTGAAGCGTACTTTGATAATATAAGATTCTCTCAGACTTTAGCCTGCCTTGAGAATATGTTTAAAAGCCATTAGGAGTCTCATAGCATTTATGGGATTTTTCTTATATAGATTACTTTTTTTTTTTTAACATATATTTTGGGCAGAACTCTCAAGTCTCCAGATAAACAGCTTGAATCTTCAGAAGACTACTTGCTTTATAACCCCTCCCCTGGACCCCTGCCACCCTGTCCTCCCACAAACCTCATTTGCTCACTGTGGAAGAATAGCACAGTGCACCACCACCCAGACTTCCCAAGCTCTTCTCTTGGTCTCTGCTGTAGCTACAGTAGCAACTCTTTATTCTCCTACAACGATTGCCTCTGCGATTGTCTTCCTTCTAACCCTTTCTTAAAGAGATAGGCTCTAAAAATCATGATCCAGTGGCTATTGCAATTTTACCTAGCCAGTGAATTTATTTATTTTAGATGATTTTTTGATATTATTGTCATTGTCAATAAGACACCAACTAGAGCTGTCAGCCAGTGGGATCTAGTCTTAACTCATCTTTGGTGCTCACCAGTCAGAAAGCCCTAGCCACATGTGTTTATTTCCCCCAGCACTCTTCTCTCATTTCCTTCCTTTCCATCCTGAAATTTCCTCTTCTAATGGTGAAGAGCTGGTAAGTAAGTACAGACAAAACCAATGCCTCTTCCCGTGTCTCTATTCATTTCCTTCCTGTCCATCCCTATAACCTTAACTGTACATCCATGGTTATTTTCAACATTGAGTTAATATCCTAGAATCAAACATTTTAGATATTCAGGTAATTCTGAGTACCGTATGCTACAGTTTGAATGTGTCTCCCAAAATTCATTTGTTGGAAACTTCATCTGCAGTGCAGCAGTGTTGGGATGTGGGGCTTAGTGGTAGAGCCCTCATGAATGGCTTGGTGCTGCTATTAAAAGGGTTTGTGGAAGTGGGTTTTTCCTCTCCTGCTCTTTTGCCATGCGAGGACATAGCATTCCTCCCTTCCAGAGGACACAGCCTTCAAGGTGCCATCTTGAAAATAGAGAGATCAGGCCCTAACCTGATGGCACCTTGATCTTGGACTTCCCAGTCTCCAGAACTGTGAGAACTAAATATCTGTTCTTTATAAATTACTTCATGTCAGGAATTCTGTCATAGCAGAACAAAAAGACATCCTGCTTTTTGAGCCCACTAAGTGTTCATGGCTTTTCTCTTTCAAAATTTTATTGCTAAAATAAATACAGAGGTCAATACTTTCCAATAATTCATGACATTGCATTTTCCTGTAAGAAATAGTAAAAGTTGGATTTTTATGCCCTTGAAAAAGAAATCTATCCTTGAGGAAGTCTGAAACTAAACATTTAACAACTTGAAAAATTAAATCACGGCTCTCTGACCAAACACTGGAAAGTTTTATACTGAAATTCAGATACTCTTTGCTTGTTTACTGGCAGGGACAAAGCCAAAATGTCAAGAAAGCTAGCATCTACCTTCTATCATGTCATTCTTTTTATTTCATTTTATGTATGAGTCTTTGAAATGTTTGTGTTTTTTAAAACCCTTTTACTTTTTATTTCCTTCATTAAAATATTAGCTCTCTAAGGGCAGGCCATTGCCCTCATATTTACCACTAATTTGCTACTGCCCAGAGCAGCCTCTGACACACAGGACAACCTCAGAAAATACCAGTGGAATGAAGGAAATGACTCTTCTGGTTTTACTCCAAAAGAAGTAGTTCTAATTTTTTTTTTTTTGAGATGGAGTCTTGCTCTGTCACCAGGCTGGAGTACAGTGGTGCAATCTTTGCTCACTGCAACCTCCGCCTCCTGGATTCAAGCTATTCTTCCACCTCAGCCTCCCGAGTAGCTAGGGCCACAGGTGCGTGCCACCACAGCCGGCTAATTTTTTTGTATATTTAGTAGAGACGGAGCTTCACCCTGTTGGCCAGGATGGTCTTGATCTCTTAACCTTGTGATCCGCCCGCCTCAGCCTCCCAAAGTGCTGGGATTACAGGCGTGAGCCACCGTGCCCGGCCAAGACTTCCAATGTTTTTTAATGCTTAAAGAAAGCCAGATGGATGTACATACAGGATTTCCAATGTCATAAAAGTAACAAAATTAGCTTACTCTTCCAAGCTTTTATTTTATTAATATTTTTTGAATAATAACAATTATGAAACGCTTCATGAATTTTTGTGCCATCCTTGCGCAGGGGCCATGCTAATCTTCTCTGTATCGTTCCAATTTTAATCTATGTGCTGCTGAAACAAGCACCAAACTCTTAAAATTAGTTTAGGTTCGGAGTGAAGAGTTGAAGTTGCACAGACTCAAGCTGTTTTGGGACTATGGGGGACATTAAGGGCTACGTTTACTTGAACAAAATCTATGGGTGAGGCTTACCTGCTTTCTGCCAGTTTTCCTGGTACAACAGCTGATGTCAGAGGGTGGTCGGAGAAGGAGCTTGGAGCTGTTGGTAAGGAAGTTTTCATTACTTTCTTGCAGGCTCCTTTTACTTCTAGTCTTCTATGACTCAAGGGTCATTCAATGCCAAATGAAATTCTCCCTCTGTGGTAACTGCTAGAAAGCCCAGTGATCGTCTGATTTCTAGTGACAACTGTTGGCCATATCTCCAGAAGGAGACAGGAGTTGTGTCTATTCGGAAATAATTTTCCATGGATCCATCACGTTTTTGTACCTCTTGTGAGCTGAAGTACTGAATGCTCTTATTCCAGACTATTTGTTGGGCAGGCTAACTTGCAGTCCATTATAAAAGATTCAGATTCCCTAAGCTTGAGATTGCTCAGGTATGATGCAAACCTCCTGAGTTTGCTAACAGGGACCTGAGATGCTCCATAGGACTTCGGGGACAAGGGGAACCAACAGAACTTGAAACATACCATTTGAGTAAAAACAACCTTCATCTTTGATTCAGGTGGTCTTCTGCCAGCATTCACGAAACAAAACTGGCAGGTAGCAAAAATCTGAAACTTTTCACTGTTCTTGATAGTTTCACATGTTCCATCCATGCCAGGGTCCCTTATTTTCTGCAAAATAAAAAAATTCTGACAAAGAATGCATATGGGACAGGGTGACCTTCAGTGGGAAGCAGAAGTGAAGCCCCAAGGTCATGGTGGGAGATCAGTGGTAATGAACAGAGGTATGTCATAGTGTAGGAAACAGATGAAATTCCCAGTGTGAAGGTAAGTCATTAGTGTTAAGAATAAAAATGCTAGTTCATTTCTCATTCACATACTGTTTGTTCACATAAGACGCTCCATGAATGTTATTGAATAAATGGATTTATATCCTTCTTCCTTCCAAAAATGGTATGAAGAGGTTTCCAATAAAAAACACAGATAATGAATTTATTCAAAGAAGAGTGGAAAGAGGTGATTCAGGACAAGAAGGGAAGAAGGACCCCAACCTCCCACCTCTACCACCCTGTCCTTCCATGAGTGAGAATTTTGTCAGGCACTTTAAAAAGTTCACCTACCTTAATCCTCAAAGGACCCTTAAGATAGCTCTTATTGTCTACTTTTTACAGATAAGGAAACTGCATAGAAGATAGGAAGAGCATCTGCAAGTATAAGATATGTACAGTATCTGTCTCCTATCTGCCTTTGCAAGGAAATGGCAGAGTCAGGATTTGAACTCAGGTTTATCTGGCTACAAGGCACTACATGTTTTTTTTACAGGACATCACCTCGACAGTGTCAGCCCAAAACTAGACCAAGGACACTTGGGCCCACTGAGCTCAGGGCTTAGCCCCAAGTTTTCTGAAAGCATGCCAGAGAAAAGCTGGATAAAATGCTTTAGCAAAAAAGATGAGCGTCATTACTCATCTGACAATGGAAAGGACTGATCAGGAAGGGGGGGAAAAGAGAGTAGTGGCAGAACATAGAAAAGAGAGAAAAAAAGACTGAATTTTTTAATGGAGTGTAAAATAAGACATGTTTTTTACTTTTCTGAACCTCTTTAGAGACTACAATAATAATAATTCTTATGTGGTAAGTCCAATAAGCTAGAGTGATGTCTTATTAAATGTACCATCATACTAGCTTCTGATGCAGAATTTGCATCAGAAGAAAAGTATAAGATATTACCACCATGACTTGGCAAAACCAGTGTACTCTATTAATGTTAGCCACTTAGTTGCCGTAATTGTTTTGCAACACAGCACCCATTGCCTGGTTTCCCTGGGAGTTCTTGAAAGCTCTATTGAAAGGTTATATTTAAAGTGTAAGTTAGAGAGGGCTGTGAATGGAAAGAAAATCGTTTTTCTTTTGGTAAAAAAAATTCACTCTCCTTGGGACTATACACTAAGTTAGCTCAGTTATTTGATAGAACCAGTATCTTATTTTACATAGGGCAAAACATAGATCTAGAAATTTCAAGTTCACTGGTTGAAAGCGGAGGGTGTGCTTGAATGTGATTTGAAAGCAGTTTTAATTTTATGACACTTTATGGTGTGTGTGTGTGTGTGTGTGTGTGTGTGTGTGTGTGTGTGTGT